AAAAAAAAACACACCCCCCCCCCCCCCCCCCCCCCCAAAAAAAAAAAAGAGACTTTTTGACTTACCAAACAATACCATAAGCACCTCTCCCCACAGGACGAATAGGAGGGACATACTTTCTGGAAACTTCAAAGAGGTTACCATAGATATTGTACTGAATGTAGCGTCCACCATGAGTTGGTATCCCTCTGATGTTGTTGTGTTCAGCTGACTCAACAGAAGACATGTCTTATGTTGTGTCTGTTACCTCTTCTCAATTCAATTCAAATTCAATTCAAAAACAAAACTGCGAAGATGAAAGAGGAGAGACCCAATATAAATAGGGTGATTCAGAGTGGAAAAGGAGCTAACTTTGAGGCTTATGCACTTGAGTTTGAAGACATAGAGAGAGAAATAGAGAGGGGTATGAGTATGAGGCTTTTCAAGCGGACACGCATGTGTGAACCCGTGAATTAATTGACTTTTCTTTTCACTTCTTTTTCATCAACGTTGGTGTGCTGTCTGTGATTTTCCACTTCCAATGCTTTCTTCCCCATTTTTTTTATTATTCTTATTTCCCTTTTTGTTTAAATGGTTTGTGTTCTGATCTTGCTTCATCGAAAATGATAATTCTATCATTATGTACACGGTTTTTTACATCACTATGTGGATGGATATCTATAATTGGTGAGTTCACAATGACTTTTGTTAGTGTTGTGTGATAAATCAACTTTTAATATTAAAGAAAATTTTCATGGTTATAACGTTAAAAAATTGCATGAATATCAAGTTGTTGATTTATTATTTCAAGCCAAGTAGTACTTTTTTTATAAAAAAAAAAAAAGTTGTGAGAGTATAGATAAGAAATTTTTTAAAAAAAACTATTTTTCCCTTAAAAAATTATTATTTTTTTAATAAGAGGGCAGCAAAGCTCCATTTTTTTTTCCTTGGTTTGTTCAATGAATAATGCAAACTTTCAAATCCATGATACGGTATTGAATATGTACAGAAAGGTAAATATCAAACAATACTCATGGGTAAAGAAAACCGATATTTTTATTTGTGGAAATATATAATCAGCTTATCATATAACGCCACGTATTTAAATGCATGTTAATCTTGCGAAGTTTTTAAAAATAAAATATTCCGTTACTCTAATAATTGCACAATGGATAGTGTCTACAATTTTTTCATAAACTTTATGACATTAAAGTAAATATTTTTCGTTTTGCCAAAAAAAAAAAAGATTAAAGCTATCCAATGGAAAAGCTATGATATTTATGTTTTTAGATTAATAATATTTCTATACACATCTTTTCATATTTTTAAAATTTTTATTATTAGATTGTAGTTAGACGCGTTCGAATTTTTTAACATTTATTCTTATTCTATAACCTCCAGTCATGTAAAGTGATGTGCATGTTAAAAAGTAAAAAATAAAAATAAAATAAAATAAAATAATACAAAAGTTATTTAATTTCAGAAGCACATATATATAATATATAATCATACTAAGGTTAAAATTTATGATATTACATATTATACTAACCTCTCATCACTAAGTCAACTGTAGTATTTTTTTATTTAAAAAAATAATCTAGTTTGTATTTACCATAATTTCATATGTTGCAAATTTAATTTGCCCTAATCAAAGTCAAGTCAAAGAAGTTTCAGGAATAGCGATATAAAAAGTCCAAGTCCTCGTCAACTTAGTACACGTCTGGAATTGGTGTAGCTACCCGGCCCGGCCTGGCCCGGCTTATCATGGGTTGGCCATTTGGTAGGTCAATTCAACTCGACTCATTTATCAGTGAGCTCAAAAAAATCAAACCCGGTCCGGCCTACCACGGGTTAGTGGGTTAAGGTTCACTCATCTTTAAAAAAAAATAATTTTTTTCATTTTTCTTTTCTTAATATATAATTAAAGCCCAAAATTTTAAACTTGTTTTAAAAATCTGAGATTCTTAATTAAGATATCCATAAATGAATCATTTCTCCCAAACATTAAATGATAATTTTAAATACAATCAAATCAAATTTGAATAATCTCAAATAGATAAATATAATCCAAAATCATCTTAAACTTCAAATACGATCAAAAATCATAAAAATTACAAATCACAATCCAACATTAAATTATTATTGTCTCATGTTGGACTGCACCATGGCCCAATAATTATTGTATTGTTTCAAAAAAAAAATTTAATCACGGATTGGTGGGCCAGCCCGGCTCACCCGGTTGTTAGTGAGCCGGGTTCAAATTTGACCCGTGTTAAAATTTTTAAATTTTTTTCAACCCAACCCGGCTCGAACCCGTGGTGAGCCGGGTTGGCTCATCGGGCCAAACCCATTTTGACAGCTCTAGGTGTAGTTCTAATTAGAAGTTTTGATCAGTCATTCTTACTCCCAAAGTTGAGCAAAATGGGGCTATCAAAGATGAATTTTCTGTATAATTAGTGATGGAATAAAATGCAAATTATTATAGTCAATGTTCGATTTTCCTTTTAACCAAAATGTGTTTTCTTGTGTTTATATAGTCAGTCTTTTTAGTTGGTCCATTGTCAGTCTTCGTTTCCTTCGTAGCCTTTTGCTTTCACTCTTTGTTTTCATCTCTGGCCCAATGAAATTTGCAACCGAAAGAAACTTCCCAAATTGTGATTCGAAAATGACTAGAGACAAAATCCATACGACAAGCCTCGGAAATATAGGCCGTCCTCATATTCTTCTGTCATGCTCATCTGAAAACTCTCATACTGTTGATGCTTTTATCCAATTGACATTATCATTCATTTCATGATTGTTATTGTACAGAATCTAATATAAAATCTAACAATAATAGCTTGCAGCAATAAAAAGCACCATAAATTATAGGAGAGCATAATGCCATGATCCCTTCAAATATCTAAGTTGCACTCCAAACAATTAGCAACTTATATATTTTAAGGAAAAAAAAATAGTTTGGCTTACTTTAGTCCATATTTTTTCGTTATGAAAAAATGCAATATGAATACAGAGTTTACACACACACACTCCCCCTGCGGTTAATTGTTAGCAAAATTATATTGACATGAAATTTAACAAAATTTCCTAAACCAGTAAAGATACTGCAATCTATGGCTTTTAGCAATATTCACGAGTCAACCCAAAACTGATCTTCAGAATATCTTTTAACAGGGGTTAATTAATAAAAATGATAGAATGGGCAAATTGACTTGTCAAATGCTAAAGCAATTTGACAAGTCAAGCGACAAGTCAATGTCAATCTAACACAAGGTAATAACCTTCATCTGTTTCTATCCAATATAAAGTAATGAAATTGATAGCTTGATATACAAAACAGATAAGTTTCCAATAATGAGATAGGCATGAATCCGAATTTTGCAAGATATGACCCAATTTCCGATTTTTTTTACTTAAAATTCTTGCAAACAAAATAAATGAGACCAAGATAAATTCTCAATAGCGAATCATCTAACTAGTATTCATTGAAGGCTCGACACATCCAATTCCATCTGCATGATATACAGCATTACAGCTGAAGGAGAGAGAGAGAGAGGAATTATAAGCTACAGTGTGCCTGTGCCCTTAACTCACGAAGCAAACACGGATATTGCGATAAGTAAACACGACTGTGCACACATCAAAAACAGTGCTTATGTATTTCAATCTCAAACAGCTTACCAACAATCAGGTTTCCTCTTGCATAAAACCAGATGCTCGTCATCCCAAATTCACACATTAACATAAGCGAGAGATGAAACACAAATTTCAGTGTAGTGCAACATCAGAAACGTGCCATAGTTTTCATCCAGTAACAATAAATAATTCCTCTTTTAATCATTAAAACTTTTACACTTAATCATATATAGAATTTGGGTTAATATGGCTAAACTGAACTTTTTCGAAAATTACTTTAGTAAATCGGTTCATATAGCTGAACTGTTTTGAAAAATATGGTTTGGTTAGTAAATTCTTTCAAGTTTGATTATTTGTGGATTAATTGTTGTTCACGAGTGGCTTACGCACACCCCTAACCGGTAAGATAAATAAATCCAGTGATTACAAACCCACTATCATATGGATTGATGAATCACTAAAGCAGACATGCAGGATAAAACTAAATAACAGGATATGCGGTAAAAATAGATGGGTTTATAAGTCTATTTTACTGATCATATAATAAAATCCAACTTATACAAAGCTCATTGACTAAATATCAGAGGCAGAGCTTGTACAACGATTTTAATTTTATTCCAAAATTGTGATTGCTAAAAAACCTCTAGCACACTACTATCGCCAAGAAAACTAAATAAAAATTATCAGGTCCAAAGACATAGTGTTAAGGAACAATGGGAGCAGGAATAATTTGCAATTTCCTGCGAACATCTTCCAAGTCTTCATGAAAATGCCGCTCATAATATACACACATCAGATCAGTGCACCGCATGCCAGCACGAATGGCCCAGGGGAAGTAGTGCTGATAAAACAACTTTCTCTGCTTATCACTGAATCTAGCCGTACCACCTACAACGGACAACAGGCACATAGGAAGGTGCATCTGCTCAAACTCAATAACCTTCAGTGCTGTCTCCCCAATCAAGTTAGTAGGAAGGTCAAAAAGGGTATGCCAGAAGTCATGCACTTCACGAGCCCGCATGGTTACATAAGCCAGTTCATCAGTGTCCATGAACCGCACAGGAGGCCGATCATCTGGTGAAAAGTTCCTAGATCCCATAAACCTAGCATAGGCAGCACCAAATGTATTTGTTGGCATGTCCCAAGCATGTCCTACTTTTGCAGAAACAACACGAGGGCGCTCCAATAGTACAGCCTACAATCAGGATTACAAAAAAAAAATTAATTGGTTTTTTTCTGACATATAATTGTATTTTTCAACAGGCAAAGTAAAAATGTCATAACATATAAGATGTGTTTGGTAAAATTAGCTTATAAGTTGACTAAAAGCTTATAAACAAATTGAAAACTTATAAGTCAATTGATTAAATTAAAAGTGTTTGTTAAGATTAGTTGATAACTTGATTGATTAATATAAAATGACAATTACTTATTTGACAATGAGAGTGAGAGAATAACGTGTTGGCAAAATGGTTTCAAAATTAAAAAGGATTTCAAGTAAATTGACGAGGATAAAATGAAATGAGAAAAAAACAGCTAAGAACTCATAAGCTACAAACAATTTCAATTACCTTATGGAAATAAGTTATAAACTCCCTAAAATAAGCTCTCTTACCAAATAAACTTATTTTAGTCAAACTAGCATATAAGTTGGTCAAAGGATCTTATAAACTTCTCAAATGTCATGTCAATCACAGCCATAATCATTCAGTGAAAATTATATATAATTACTTTTATCTGTAAGTATGGCCGGGGACCAACCATTCTCTCATCTCAAACTATTTGATACCCCAAAATAAATAAACTATAGTTGTTGTTTGCCACACAGCATCCAGTAAAAATTGAATTAAATAAAGGGCACTCAACATTAAAAACCACCACATGAACAAGGAGTATATCCACATTAACCAAAAACAAATAAGGGTAAAACAAAATATAACTGACCCACCCTCCCTTCAGGACAACTCTTCATCCTCTGAAGAACTCTCTCAAAAGCAGGCTTTCCAGTTGTCTCACCAAGAGCCGCTATCAAATCCGCTCTTCGAGGGTCCAACAATGCCCCAACAGCCGAACCCAACGCCACAGCTGCCTGCTGCCATGTCTTCAGCCGGACTCTACCACCTTCTATCATTGCAAATAACTAACTACCCTTGCCAATCTGAACAAACATATCACTATTTTTCAGAAAGCCAAACGAATTCATCAATTTTGATTCAACAGAAGTTAAGAAAACGATACCAACTAAATCAAGAGAAAGGGAAAGAAAGAAAATGCGAGTGTAATTGATGATCATGAAGCCCGAATAGGAAATTTCCGTTTCAGTGGAAAAGTTTTTATTGCAACCCCCTAAAGTCTAAACAAAACCAGTTTTTGGTCTCGCCGAATGATAAACATTTAACATTAACATTATAGCCGCTATGGAATTATAGGAACACTAAAAAAACATAAAACTTCAAACAACAGCGAAATATCACCCACGCAAGCCTAAAAAATTTACCCAAAAAGAAATGTCAGAACATGAAAACCTTACTGAAAACTTTCAGTTTCAGCGCATCCAACAAAAGAGAATAATCGATAATCAGATTAATTGGCAAAAGGACACAGAATAAATAGTAGAAAAATAAAAATAGAAACCCTAATTCCAGTTATTTTGTGAAAAGTGAAAACAAATTAAAATTGGAGAGTGAGAAGCAAATAGAGAAGGATGTTGTTACCTGAAAGAAGGGTCACGGAGAGGGGGAAAGTTTCGAGAGTGACGAAAACTCTGTCTGAACCTTATTTTGCCGTCAAGAAAGGACACGTGGAGTTATATTACTGGTAAACCATGCAAGAATCTCCCTAATTTAATTTTTCATTTTTCTACTATTATTAGAATAATTTTATTTTTTTAATTGATTGTTAATATTTTAAATGACTTTTTTTTTACCTTAAATTTAAATGATGTAGTGGCTTTTTTACATAACCCGTACATAAAAATTATACTCGAAAGGTTATAAGTCATTGTTTCCTAGATCATGCAAGCATTCCAAGATATGGTATACAATATTTGAAATTTGAAGAGGATGGTATTCAATGATAATAATACGGATTTCATTTCGTGTTGAATTTAATAATAAATTGTTTGAATTTGATTTTTGTTCGTAGTAATCTTAATCAAACTTTATTTATCTTACGGTTAAAATAGATTAATTTAGGATTAAGTATTAGAATATTAATGTAAAAAAAAAAAGTATTCAATGTGAATATATTATGTAATTATTAGTTGATAAAACAGGATAAATTTATTCTATTTGTTTCATTAATTCAAAAATTATTTTAAAGAGAATTAAGAACAATTAAGTATCATTGAAAAAATAAAAATGTATTGATTTAAATATGTTTTAGTCCTTTAAAAATAAATAAATTTTAATTTTAATTATTGTTATTTTTTATTTTTTATTTTTCATTCTTCAAACAAAAATTTACATTGTTTTTTATTTTTATAAAATGTCAAGGGGACCCAATTTTCCCCACCTTTTTCTTCTCTAAATGGAATGTTTGGGTCAAATTATATCTATAGAGGTTCGTAAAGGTTGTTGGATGTCCGATCATATATAAAATAAAGGCTCAACAATTTCATATTTATTTTTTGTTAATGTGCTACTATTTGTGCATGCAAAACCTTCCCAAGTGAGAATTATGTCAAAGGTTTTTAGGGGGTTTTATACTATATCTTATTTAAAAGTTAGTTTGGAAAAATCTCAGGCTTATGGTTCTTAGAAAATTGTATACTATGCTTGATTTAAAAGTTAGTTTGGAGAAATCTCAGGTTTATGCATCAAGTGCATAACCCACAAAGAGAGATAAGATTCTCTCTATTACAAATATCACGTTCACACAAAACCTAGATAAAGTATTTGGTGTTCCCTATTTTTATCGATTATGGTAAAAGGAAGAAGTATGTATAGGAAAATGTTTGGAATTAATTTTGATTCAATTTTGTCATTGGGTTACAGTAGTATAAATATACAGATTGATAACGTAAATTGGAAAGAATCAGGGGTACAAACTCCACCAATTTAGCACTAACAATTAGCCTAAATAAAGGGAAAGCAGATATGCAAAAGCTGACAAATAAAAACTGATTATTATAATTTAAAAACTAATTATTATAATTGATATCCTCCCGCAAGTTGGACGGTCTGGAAGAGAGACGCAACTTGGACAGTAATGAATCAAACCGAGGGTGAAGCAAAGGCTTTGTGAGTATATCAGCAAGTTGACCATCAGTAGACACAAAAGACACCCGAAACTTGCCTTTTTGAACATTTTCGCGAACAAAATGATAGGCTAAGGCTATATGTTTCATCCGAGAGTGGAAAACAGGATTAGCGCTGAGAGTTGTGGCACCAAGATTGTCACAATAGATAACCGGATTGGCTGTGGGCATGTGACCAAGTTCAGTGAACAAGGATAGGACCCATAGAAGCTCACTGGCCGTGTCAACCAAGGCTTTGTATTCTGCTTCGGTCGAGGAGCGAGCAATAGAGCGTTGTTTTCGGGAGCTCCAAGAGATGGGAGTGCTACCGAGATACAACAAGTAACCAGTGGTGGAGATATAATCATCCTTATCACCTGCCCAATCTGCATCTGAGTAAGCATGAAAGGTTAGCGGAGCGGTTGCCGAGATGAAGATGCCTTTGTCACAAGAGCCTGCCAAATAACGAAGCACCCGTTTGAGAGCAGACCAATGCGCTGTTCTGGGGTGTTGCATGAACTGCGCAAGTTTGTTGGTGCTGAAGGCGATGTCTGGGCGAGTAATACTTAAGTATTGTAGACTTCCCACGAGTGCACGATACTCAGTTGGGGAAGATAGGAGATCACCGGAATCCTTGAGTAATGGAGCACTGGCAGACAAGGGAGTGGATGCTGATTTGGTGTTAGCCATGCCTGATTTATGGATTAGATCAGTGATGTATTTCCTTTACGAAAGAAAGAGTCCTGTAGCCGAAGGAATTACTTCAACGCCCAAGAAATAGGTAAGACAACCAAGGTCTTTCAGCGAAAACCGAGCAGCAAGGGTGGAAATAAGGTTGGACAGCTCTATATGGGAACTCCCAGTGACAATGATATCATCAACATATACTAATAAATATAGTGTGGAACCTGATTTCTGGTAGATGAAGAGAGAGGCATCTGCAGTTGAATTGACAAAGCCAAGAGAAAGGAGAAATGCGCGAAGTGCGGTGTACCAGGCACGGGGTGCTTGCTTTAGCCCATAGATTGCCTTTTTGAGGCGACAAACATGATCAGGGAACCTTTTGTCGACAAAACCAGGGGGCTGGAGCATGAATACGTCCTCTTTGAGCGTCCCTTGAAGAAACGCACCGTTGACATCAAGTTGACGGATGGACCAGCGTTGATGAACGGCAAGTGTGAGGACAATGCGAATGGTGACCGGTTTAACAGCTGGACTGAATGTCTCTGTATAGTCCCAACCAGGGCGTTGGTGAAAACCTTTGGCGACTAGGCGAGCTTTATATCGATCAATCGAACCATCTGGGTGTCGTTTGATTCGAAAAATCCATTTACAGCCAACCAAATTTGGAGCAGAGGACCGGCTGACGAGTTCCCAAGTGCTGTTGCGGTGTAAGGCGTCAAACTCAGCTTGCATAGCTGAGCGCCAATCAGGGTCGCGAAGAGCTTGGGTGATGGTGCTGGGTTCGAGTGGAAGAGAGGGTTGGACATGGAGGTTAAGCTTCTTGAGAGGCTTGACAATGTTGTTTTTAGACCGGGTGATGATGCCACCCCCATCGGGTTGGGGTCTCCTGTGAGGGTTAAAAGCGGGTTGAGATGGTGGCACAGAACATTGTGGGGATGGTGTTGAGGTTGGAGGTGAGGTAGGGAACTCGGAGTGGCCAGTGGAGGGTGGGGCTGGAGTGGGGGAGTTGGTGAAGGGTGAAGATGAAGGGGCAGCCGAGACCTCCGTCGGTGGGTGTAGAGTGGTACTGAGCATGGGTTGGTTTATGGGATGAAGTATGGAGAGATGTAGTGGGCCTTGTTGTTGCTCAGCACTCGGACTAGCTTGAGGGACTAGGGAGCTGTACGGGAATTCAGATTCAACGAACTTGACATGGCGAGAGGTGTAGATCCTTCCAGTTTTTGGATCGAGACACAAGTATGCATGTTGATCAGCCGAGTAACCTACAAAAACACACATAGCAGACTTTGGTGCAAGTTTATGGTTAGCATATGGTTTAATCCAAGGAAAACACAAACAACCAAAACACTTTAACTTATGATAATCCGGGCTAATTTTGAGTAATTTGGAATAGGGTGAGTGGTACCCAAGAATTGGTGTTGGGAGTCGATTGATGAGATAGGCAACTGTTGTCATGGCGTGAGGCCAATATGTGAGGGGCAAACCCGAGTGATGGAGAAGAGAGAGACCAGTTTCGGCAATGTGAAAATTCCGACGTTCAGAAATTCCATTGTGTTCAGGTGTATGAGGTGGGGTGGTGTAATGACTTATTCCATGAGTGCTTAAAAAAGAACGAAGACCAATATATTCACCACCATTATCCGTGTAAAGAATTTTGATGTTGTGATGAAAGAAATTTTCAACAAGCGATTTAAATTTGGGAAATAGAGTTTGCACATCAGATTTGCGTTTTATTGGATATAGCCAAATATAGCGAGTAAAATGATCAACAAACATGCAATAATAGCGAAGACCATCAATTGATAAAACAGGGGAAGTCCATACATCAGAGAAAATTATTTCCAAAGGATAACATGATTTAAGAGTGGATTCATGGAAAGGAAGTTTATGACTTTTGCTAATTTGACATGAGTTACAATCTGATTGCTGGAATTTATTTGAACCCAAAGAAAAATGCTGCTGAATGAATGTGAAGATAGAAGAGGAGGGATGCCCAAGTCTATGGTGCCATGAAGCAGAGGAGTCTGTGCAGACAGAGTGGACGGACGGGGAGTTGGCTGGCCAGAGATAGAGTCCATCCACACATGAGCCTTTATGGGTTGTTTGACCCGTCTGCAAGTTCTTCACATGAAAAGAGTTTGGCAAGAAAACAACAGCAGAGTTAGTTTGTTTGGTAAGCTGAGAGACAGAAAGGATTTTCTGTTGCATGGAAGGAACGCACAAAGTATTTGAGAGGGATAAATCATTAAGTAAAAGTGTTCCAGAATGAGAGATGTTTAAACCTGAACCGTTACCCATAAACAGTGAGTCTGGACCCGTGTACGGATGATGCAGCGCTAGATTGGCAAGATCATTGGTGACATGATGCGTCGCTCCACTGTCAACCAGAAAATTAGATTGAGAGGTGCCAGCAGATGCAGTATGGACCTGAACCTGTCCAGGGTTAGCAGAAGAGTAACGAGGAGGTGGCGGGACACCAGGGTGCTGCTGCTTGAAGGTGTGACACTGAGACAGAACATGACCCTTGACATTGCACCACTGACAGCGACCAAGAAACGGTTTGCGATTGCCAGGGCGTGAAGTGGAGGATGCAGAGAATTGCCCAGATCGAGTTTTGTCGGAATGGTTGGGTCATGCCTGTGCATTCAAGGCTGTCATGGGAGCAGGAACCTGCCGTTGAGCAGCAACAAGGGAGAGTTCTTGAATGAGAAGCTTCTCGAGGAGGTCATAAAAAAGAATGGCAGTGTCCCTTGCATTGACGCTGTCAATGACAGCTCTGTAGCCGTCGTCGAGACCACGCAAGACATGGTCAGTCATGTCTTCAACGGAGACAGGAGAGCCAAGGGAGGCAAGGAGATCTGCAGTTTGCTTCAGAGAATGCATGTAGGTGGTGATGGATTGGGTACCTTTGGATGCCGTGTGGAGACGCTCCTTTAACTGCTTGAGGTGGCTGCGGGATGCCTTGGTATAGGTGTGCTGTAGAAGAGTCCACAGATCATGTGATGTCTTTGTTTGAGACACCAGGGATGCCACTTCAGGAGAGAGTGTGGTGAGGAGAGCACCGTATATAAGACGGTCCTGTCGACGCCAGGTTTGGTAAGCAGGATTTGGAGTTGTCACCGGAGGTTCAAGGGTGGTGGAGATCGTCGTCGTCGGCGCAGGAAAGGATCCATCTGGATATTTGAGAAGATCATAGCCATCGAGGAAAGCTTCAACTTGAAGTTTCCAGATGAGGTAATTAGAGGGAAGAAGCTTGGTGACACTGCTGAGGATGATGCAAATGAAGGGTTTTGATGGCTCATGAGGGTTGCTAATAGATGAAGAGTTTTCGTTGGCCATGGGAGGCAAAAGAAAGAAAGGAGCGGCGTCCTGTGTTGGAAAAAAAAAAGAAGAAGAGGATCGTGTATTAGGCTGATACCATATAGGAAAATGTTTGGAATTAATTTTGATTCAATTTTGTCATTGGGTTACAGTAGTATAAATATACAAATTGATAACGTAAATTGGAAAGAATCAGGGGAACAAACTCCACCAATTTAGCACTAACAATTAGCCTAAATAAAGGGAAAACAGATATGCAAAAGCTGACAAATAAAAACTGATTATTATAATTTAAAAACTAATTATTATAATTGATAGTATGCTTGTATTATACACAGAGTTATAAACACTAAGTTGGCTTCCTGGAAAAGGAGAACACTTGACAAACTTGGTAGAGTGTCATTAGTGAATGCAATCTTATCAGTTATTCCATCTTCTCATATGCAAATACATTGACTTCCTCAAAAAATTTTAGACTTCCTAGATAAGAAGGCAAGGAGTTTTATTTGAAAGGGGAGTAGTGATCACGAACTTCATCTGGTGGGATTGAAGAAAGTAACCAGATCCAAAAGAGATGATGGGTTAGCTATTGGGATTGTGCAATTACATTATGTGGTTATGTTGGGGAAGTTGATCTAGGAATCCATGGAAGCTAAAAGCTTGGGGATGACACTAATAATTTATAGTTTGATATTTGGATGTCAAAGGAACCTCTAGGAGCACGCGTTTTATGGATGCATATTAGCATTCTAAACTAACAACAACTAATGTTTGGGGAGGTAAACTAAATGAACTAGCTAACATTATCTCACCTAACATCCATGAATCTACCAATTCGTTCACATCGCACCTTATGCAAGGAGTTCTAGATGTATAGATTTGGAGCTTGAATATGTTAGGAATATATATATCGTAAGTAATGTCTATCATTGGCTTCTTCAATCATCAATGTCATCTATTGAATAAGGAAGTTAGAAGTGGATCTAGGAGTTACCTTTCTCAACAAATATTTAGTTTTTCCAATGGGAGGTATGACAAAACTCAATCCCCACAAGAAGGACTTTTTTACAGTGACACATCATTAGTGTGGATACTTACCCTCATTATCATCAAGTAATAGAGTTAATTCACCATTGTTTATTTGTGTTGGTTAATTTGATAACTTTGTCATTCATTGGGTTTAGTCTCCTCCTCTTCACTAATGGATAATGTGATTACAATGGAATGGTTGAAAGGGCTTATAGGCTTGCACGGAATAGTTATACAATTATGTTGTGGGTCATGTAGAAGTCTTAAACACAAGGTGGTATTTGATGATGTGCTTGAAGCATTGCTTATCCTTATATCTAAGGTGTACGTGGAGCATAGTGCATGCAAGATATCATTTGAAAAGGGTAACCTATAGAGCAAGCAAAATACCGTGCCACAATTGGTGGTTTGGGAAGCACTAACTCCACATTGGGTAAAGCTAAATGCAAATGGCAGTGCACTGGCTATGTTGGGTTTGGGGGCTTGGTGTGAGACTTGGATGACTGTTTCATACTTGGATTCTTTGAAAGTCTTGGCATGTCCAACAATATTCATGCTAAATTATGGCTCTTATTAAGGGGTTAGAGTTGTGTTCAGATAAACATTTCTCTCATTTCAAGTGTTAGTCAAACTCTCTTTATCTAGTACAACTTGTTTAGGAGGGTATAAATCCTCAACATCACTACACAAATGAGGTTGCATATATCTGAGAATTGATGAGTAGATCATGAAGCTTCTCTCTCCTTTACATGTTTTGCAAGGGAACTATTATGCGAACTAGTTGAAAAAAAAAATGGACTCAACATCAAATACTCCCTTAACGATCCTTAAAGAATCAAATGTTGTTCTTCAGTTGCTACTGGTTGTGAATGCATTGAAAACTCCTTATCTCCACTTATAGGAGTTGGATGTGATTTTTGTTTTTTTTACCCTTTTTTCTTTCATTATTTTATTTATTTATTTTTATACATTTGTCACAAAAAAAAAGAACAAAAATTTTTTTTGTCATATTTTTACTAAAAAAATTTAATATGTTTAGTTTCAATTAGAAAAAAAATAATAGTACATATTTTTAAAAATTAAGGGACTAAATTAAATTTTTAATAATTTAATAACATCAATTATATGTTTAAATATTTTAAATTTTTTTAGTACAGAAACTTGTGAGTCAAGTTTATTTAGTGGTGCATACGGCCCAATTATGACGCAGTCCAGTTGTAAGCCCAACTATTGATATCCATTATATTCGCAGCACCGGTAGCTTAGGGCGACACTGCATCTCTCTCTCTTTGTTGAACCTTTCTCTGATTCCAAAACCCTGTCGCCGTCGTAACCATGGTTCGTTCTTCAACTTCGCTTATTCCTTCTTTCCGTTTTCCCAAATCCCTCGTATGTATTTTCTGATTCCGTTTCTGTGTAACTGTAGCCGCAAGGGGATTACATTGAGCGTCACCGAAGAGACTATGGCTACCGCCTCGACCACTTCGAGCGCAAGCGCAAGAAAGAGGCTCGTCAAGTTCACAAGCGCTCTGCAATGGCTCAGAAGGTTTCGCCACTTTTTATTTGAAATCTGTAATTTAAGTTGTGTTTACGTGAACTTGTTATGCTGTTGTGTTGTTGCAATTCTAATTGGATTTTTGTTCATTCGTGTTGAACAGGCTCTTGGTATTAAGGGGAAGATCATTGCCAAGAAAAACTACGCTGAAAAGGCGCAGATGAAGAAGACGTGAGAACCTTATCTTTTTTACTGCTTTTGTGTAGTTTGTTGAGTTTTTTTTTTTGTTATTTATTGGTTAGCTTGTAGGTGCTGATGATGCAGTCGCAGCTTTTTTGTTGTTGATATGTTGCATTTTTGTGTTCATGCTAAAAACTTTCGTGGTTGATTCTTTAAATCTGGATTAGTTTTGACTGGTTTGTTTATGGAGGAGCTGTTGATTGTTGTTAGATAATTAGCATTGTAGTTGTCAAGTCTTATGTGATAATGATGTTACTGCTGTGTGTATCATCAGTTTGGCCATGCATGAGGAGTCAACTTCGAGGCGCAAGAGTGATGATAATGTTCAGGATGGAGCAGTTCCTGCTTATCTTCTGGACCGTGATAACACGACCAGAGCAAAGGTTTGTATGGCTTGAAGTTTTGAATGAAGGTTTTGACTCTTGATTCTTTTCTGGTCAGTGATCTGACAAATTTCTGGTTTTAGGTTCTCAGCAACACTATTAAGCAAAAGAGAAAGGAGAAGGCTGGGAAGTGGGATGTTCCTCTGCCTAAGGTGAGATTGCATTCAGTACATTGTGCTTGGACGATGTTAATTGATTTCTCTTGAAATTTGTTTACTGCCAGTCAGTGAATCTGTGCTCTGCATGCATAAATCAAATTCTGGACAAAATTTAATAATATTGTTAGTAAAACAATAGTATTTTTTTCCACTTAAAGAAAAAGGGAAAGTCCCCTCCGGAAAGCCTATCCAATCAGTCCCAATTGACATTGGCTTCAAGCAAACATACAGATGGAAAGAATGGGCAAATGAAAGGTGCTTTGGAAAATATTAAAGTGATAGAGTACTAGAGGAGAACTATTGGTAGTGGTTACTGGTTGCTGCTTGGATGGAACATAGTTATTAATAGAGCTAATTAGTGGAGCTATTGTGGAATCACATCGTGGAGTGGCTGGAACATACTACTAATTGAATATAGTTGTATGTTGAAGTTGAAGCTGTCACGGCTGTGATAATGGTCAAAATTGTGCAAAATCGCAGTTGGCGCGGGCACTTTTGAAGTGAGTTGCAAGAAAACCTGTTTACATCATGAAACAGCACCATATAGGGCTGTTTTAGTGGGGCAATGCAGGTTATTGCCCCATCCTTTGAATCAGAACTGAAATCCTACTTTCATTGTCACTTGCACACACTCTAGCATTAAGAAGCACTTGTTGTGTACTTTTCCACAAACACCTACCATTCTCTGGTAACATTTCCAGCATTCCCCGTGTTTTCTGGTTACCTTTGGCAGTTTCTGGCCAGTAGCCTCTGTTCTCCATAGTTTCTATCATCTCATACTTCTGGGGCCATTTTTGGTAAATGTGTCAATGTCCAGCCAACTCTGACATTTGCTGCATTGCTCTGTTCTTTCCTTTGTTCTATTTTTAGTCACATTGAAGGGGTTGTCATCTCACTGTTTTTTGTGCTTTCTTCTAAGTTTGCCCTTTAGTTTTATTTTAATTCTAATTGATTAGAACTTAGAACAGTAGTCATCCCAATACTCGCTATGCCATTAAAGCATTTTAAGGGTAGGCATCTCTGGTGCCACTATTTGGGATTAACAACTATGGGTTGGGAACGACCGCTATGTATGACAGTGGTTGTGGCAAGAAGGGCATGAACTTGGCAGCAATTAAGGAGCTAGATCCATCCATAGCTGCTTTAATTGAGAAACTGTAACAAGCTCGCATTAGGTGATCGATGTCAGTGATACGAAATGATTGAGCAGAGGGTGGTTCAAGATTAAAATTAAAATTCAGATGAGTGAACGAAAAATAGTGGAGAATGAAGATAGAAATGAATAGGAAAAAGCACCTTACAGTTGGCACCCAATCACATAGAGATCATATAACACCAGCATCAATTGATGGTAAAAACTGCTAATCAGTATTCACATTTAGAAAAGTACAATGAACAGTTGACAGCAGTTGTCAATTTTATAGTATAGTTATAGATTCCTGTTTCATGATTTATTTTGTATTCTTTTCAAATGAAATGGTGCCCCAGGGGGTGTGGATGTGTTCCTTGTGTTTACGTGAATGTATGCCTTTTCCTTTCTCAGGTGCGTCCTGTGGCTGAAGATGAAATGTTCAAAGTGGTCCGGTCTGGGAAAAGAAAGAGTAAGTATCATATATTTTTCTGTCCAAAATTGATTGGCTTCAGCTTTTCAACCTATTGCTTGTATGATCTCAATTGGTGTCACATGATTAAAATAGTATAAAAATGTTATTTTCAAGTATTATTTAACATTAAATGATTGTCCTTCCTGCATTCTTTGCTTGAAATAGGTTGAGGACTTGAGGTACTAGAAATCTTTACTTTAATCATGGTCTTATGATTTTATTAAATGATAAAAGAATTATCTATCTTGTTTGTGAAGGTGTCTGCCTGTCAACTTTTCTACAGTCTATTACTCTATTAGTACATCATAAATACTTTGAAGGGTATTAGACAGAATGCATAATGATTATTCCTGAAACACATCTGATAGTTCATGGCTCACCATTTTGCAGCCAAGCAATGGAAGAGAATGGTTACCAAAGCTACATTTGTTGGGCCTGGTTTTACCAGAAAACCTCCAAAGTATGAACGGTTTATTCGTCCAACAGGATTGCGGTTCACTAAAGCTCATGTTACTCATCCAGAACTTAAGTGCACATTCAATCTAGAAATAATTGGAGTAAAGAAAAATCCTAATGGTCCTATGTACACCTCTCTTGGTGTCATTACCAAGGGAACTATAATTGAGGTATTTATATTTCTTGCTCTTCTTAATGAGTTATTTCCATACTCACTATTAAAGGCATCTAAGTTGATCTCAATTTGGCCCTTTTATCTTCTGATGTGTACTGAGGTATACTGTGTTTTGTAGTATGATTCTATCAAAATATGTTGCTCATTTCTCTGCTTAATATAATTTCAGGTGAATGTTAGTGAACTTGGTCTTGTCACACCTGCGGGGAAAGTTGTGTGGGGTAATATTACTTGTCTTGGTTTTATCATATGGTTGGCTGAAATTTCTACTAAAATTGGCTCAATGGTTTTTTTATTTGTCATGAATGCAGGTAAATACGCTCAAGTTACTAATAACCCAGAAAATGATGGTTGTATAAATGCTGTTTTGCTTGTTTAAGGTCATAGCAACGGTTGGAGTTCCAACGTGAATTCAAAATCGGTGGTCAAAGTTCCTCCCTCTCCTATGTTCTTTGCTGTCTAATACTATATGACAGTATCACCACCGCAAATGTTCGAGGTCCAGGGAAGTTGTCTGGGTAAACAGTGAAAGCATTTTAATTATCAGATTGCAATACTGACAGATTCTATTATTTTTTGGATGTCATTGCTAATGGTCGGTTCTAGCTCCTGACATTTTGAGGCAACTATTGTACAAGAATCAGACAAGTCAGATAAATTTATATAGTTTATTTGTAAGACACTGCATTTTAAGATACTGCATTTATAGTTTATGGTACGAATATTATGTCATGTATTACCAATTACCAAATTTTAATGATTGCCCAAGTAGACTTTATAAGCAATTTGGACGTTGTTTTGAATTGTTAATTTTCGATTCTTACAAGCTGCAAGACTACTCCGAATGAATGGATTATTGATTAATATTTGAAAATTCACAACATTAGTCCGTTTAAACAGTGATTTAAAAACCGGACCGACCCGGCCGGTCGGACCAGTTGGACCGGAAACCGGTGGTCCAGCCGGTTTGAATCTTAAGTTGGATCGGTTATGCAGTCGACCCGTTTCAAACCGGATTGAACCGGTCAATTTTCTGGTTCAACCGGTGACCCGGTGGGTCAAACCGGTTCAACCACTTTTTTTTCTTATTTTTTTTAAATTTTTTTAAGGGACCATAAATCACAAAAATAATAACGAAAATTGAATCTTTTAATAGAAAAGCAAGGAATCTTATTAAATATAACAATGAATACTTGTTCTAATATATTTGTTTGCAATATATACAACTTAAATAACTTTTATAGTATATTATTAATTTTAAATTATATATTTAATAATGCAATATCTATGTAAATATTACATATATTATTTTGTGATATTAATTGCAAGCATATTATATATGTACATATTATTTATATTTTTAATTTGTATTAATATACTGTTTAACATATAATTTTTTATGTATTTTTTTACAAAATAAAAATAAAAATAATTTTAAATAAGATAAAAAATTGAAATTTAAAATAAGATATAAATTTATTAAAATTTATAAGTATAAAATATATTTAATATGAATATTTTTTGATAAAAATAAATAAAAATCGAGTCATGCGGTTCAACTAGTGACCTATCGGTTCAACCTTTGACCTACTGACCCAGTACCTTAATCGGTTCGATGACCGGTCCGATTTTTAAAACTATGCGTTTAAAACGCTGTCGGGAAAATGGAGATAATTTTTTATGCGAATATCTTTTTGTAGGGCAGAAGGTTGATCAATTCAAGAGACAAATGAAACTACCAGTTATGCTCCTTGCTAAAAAAATTTCCCCCAAAAAATGCTAACAACGCATCCCATTCGACACGATTTTATTGTTTGTTTTTTTTTTTTTTCAAAACTCAGTAGTCAATACTTGCTTGAAAAAAGTGATTAATTATGAAATGATTAAATTATTTTATAAAAATTAATAATAAATAGTATATTAATAAGTATAAGTCTGGTAAAAAGGGTGCTAATAGCATTGATCTTTTGTTGAAATGTCCAATATCTGTCAAATGAGTATATATTATTTCTTTCAAATTGAACAGATTTTTCATGCACCTGCCGGTTCTGATGTTGCATCGTCTTTATAAAGTGCGAGATTTACTTTTAGAAGGAAAAGTGAGAAATTATAAATTCTTATTAAAAAATTAGGGGTTTAGATTGAGATTCAAAGTAAATACAAATATAATAAATTATGTAACTGTTTAAATCTTAATTATTGATTCTTTACTTAAATGATATAATTTCTCACTTTACTCTTTAAAATGAGGGCTGGAAAATAGGGGGATAAGGCTGATAATAGTTAATAAACAATGTCAAGATATCCAATCATAAATCATATCCAAATCTTCAAATAGAGATTCTTAGGAACACCGAGTGAAAGATATTCTACTTATTTGTAGTTTTATACCGTTGAATGTGCTACTGCAATAGCTCACCATTATTTATCTTCCACCAAACCACTACATTTAATGTTTTTTCGTGCTAATTGTTGTTATATATGTTGAAAGACGATAGTGGCAAACATAATTTACAATGACATGCCACATGTTGAACAATAACGTAGTAGGAAATACTCCGTTTACTTAAAAACTAATTCCTTACTTATTTATTATAAGATTGAAATAAATAATTTTTTAAAATTAAGAAAAAATAATTTTTAAAGTTAAGACTAATAAATATGTCTTAAATTTATTTGATTATAAAATCACTTCTAAATTAATGAGAAGCTTAATATATATTTATAAAATTTTTGCATTCTAAAAACAAAATATTGAGACTATTAATATATTAAGAGACATAAATTAAATAAATTTTTCTTGTCGAATTCAAAACATTTAATAAAAATAATTTTTTATGAAAAAATTAAATTGAATCTTGTAAAAAGAATCAAATTAATTTAAAATTTTAGATTCTATAACAAAAGAGCGGGATAGTATATTCTTCGTTACTAACCTTGGCGTGTATTTAAGAAATGAAAAGTTTTTGCCATTATTTAATCTCATTATATATTATACAATTCTACACATTTATTGCTGAGATTTTGTGCTACAAGATTGAAGACTCAAAAAGAAATGACAGTCAAACCATTCTAATTCATAACCTTTGTTTGAATGAGTTATTCTTTTTTTCTTCTTTTTGTTAGTTTCTTTATTTTCTCTTCAACTATATAAGGAATAAATTCAAAGTGCAACCTTTTTTTTCCTCTTAATTCACACATTTCTAATTGATTAGTAAAGCCGATTGGATATAATGTGAAAGGAAATTATATGTACAATGAAATTATTAGTATAAAAATTGATTCAATTGATAGTAAAAAATAAATCTCTTTGAAAATATAATAATTATCAATATATATTTATTTTTCTAGATTTTGTCTAGTAGTCCCAGATTAACTTAATATCTCCATAAGCAGATCGTGTATAGATTTAGATTTTTTTTTTTTTTTTTTTTGATAGGCAAATGTTAGTAGTTAGTTAATTAGTAGTTATCTCCGCTTGGGTCCTAGGGGGACTCGAACCTCCGTCCTTCCTTATCTCTCCAGCCCCAGGACCACCTCCTTTTACCACCAGACCACCTTATCACTCCGTATAGATTTAGATTTATAGTGTTGTTTCCTTACTTTTGGACAAAAGAACACTTCAATTTGTGCAATTTATGTCATAACATGCATGTTAAAGGTGGAATATACTTGAAAAGAGAGTTATGGCTGGCTTAATTTGGCTATGAACTGAATAAAGCATATTATATTTTTTTTTTCTGAAAAAGGTTGAACTAAATGGAGCATACCATACCAAGAAAGTCACTTAAATTTCTAACTTTCTGCTAATAGGTCAAAGAGAGAATATGCCAAAGATCCAACTTTATTTCTTCTACGTCATGTTGCCTCACAAGTTTACAAAATAACAATGGTGAAAGAACACTTTAGAATAGAATATATAGTACTTTCTTGAAGACATTGCTTTGTAATCAGTGGTCTTTCCTAATAGAAACTTTATATAGTAATATTTGGTTCTTCCCTCTTTCCAATGCCAATAAATATGATGAGCAGCTGAGCACGTGTGTACAAGTTGGAACTCTTAATGGCTTAAAAAAATAAGTTCAACTTGATTCTTTAATATTCATAAAATATGTCAAATTTTAAAGGACTGAATGTGGATCTGTGATTTTATTCCTTACCTGCTAGTTGCGAAAAATCTTTGAACATTACTATTTAAAAAAAATCTGTTTAAATCTCATGTTTGAACATACAAGATTCTTGTGACTTTAGAACAGTTTAAACAAAAATATGCAAAAGATTGTCTGAACCCATTGTTTCATATTCATAATACATAAGCATATTTTTAAAAGAAAAATGATATGATGTTCCTATAATTATTTATGATTTTTTCTTCAATTAAATAGAATGTTTAAACATTTTTTCCATACATATATCTTTCTTTTAAAAACAAGAATTGGAATCTTGTTTGCCTCGGCCAACTTTTGACAACAACTTTGACATGAGAATTTATTTTCATGTTCTTTATGACAACTTCTGAAATTTTTGGCATAATTTTATTTTCTTAATGGTTCAGATTTTAACACATTATTTCTTGTATATGCTGAGCCATAGTTTTCCTCAATTCAATTTACTAGAAGTTATGAATCACACACACTTTCAAAGACAAATCATTTATGATGCAAGATACTACAGTTGGATTCATATATAAGAAAAAAGTATTTAAATTTTTTAATTTAAATATAAACAAATTCTAACTTATTTTTTCATTTCAAAAAATATATCTTAAATTAAATGCAGTTACTATTTTCAATAAATATTGTTAAGGGTGGTTTAGAAAATAAAGTTTAATGTTTATACAGAATCAATAAAATTAAGAGTCTAATTAGTTCAAAAGTAGAAGGAGAGATAGGATTTTAACATAATAAAGGATATAATTTTTTTCTTATTTGGTTCATAAGGAAAGGAAAGCGGAAGGATTTTGAAAACCAATTTATTTTTGTATCTTTATAATTTTAAATTTAATAACATAAATAAGGATATCTTAGATATTATATTAAATATTTTAAAATCATTCTTCTCCTTTCTAAATCCTCCCAATATTGGAGGGGAGCTAACATTATATTAGGAGGAATTTTGTTCCTCTCCTCTCTCCTATCAAACCCTACTCTTAAAAATTAAATTAAACAAATTTTTTTTAAAAAAATTCCTCCACTTTCCTCTATTTTTCTCCAACCAAATATTATGTAAATGAACTTAACTAATTTATTTAATATATGTAAATTCAAGTAATTTTTGTTTATATATAAGTTTGGAGAGAATTGAATACCTTTATTTTTTTTAAGATTGTTTTAAACAAGTCAATAAATATAATAATTTTTCTATTTTTCATAGAATAATTTTAATATTTTATATTATATTCTCCTTTATTAATTATATTCTCCTTTATTTTTGTTTCACAATAAATTTGTATTAATTATCATGTGTAAATTAAATAAAATATAAGGATATAATTAATAACACAATAATTAATATTATTTAAAATTTAAAAATAACAAATAAATAAATACAAAATTTTACTAAAAAACCACGTAGTAAAAAGAAACTAAGGGAGTAGTTTGCAGATGTTAGAGCAAATACCTTATGGGAAATGAAATTGTAAGGAATGAATCTTAACCATTTAATAAAAATAAACTTAAATATTCGTATATTTAATTGTACATGTGTGCCCAAACAGCCAACACATTAAAAGGCATCAAGAGCATCACATGAGTACACACTTCTTCAACCCACCATCCATGCCATTGTCGGAGTTTATAGTACATTTTAAAAGTCTCTTTTGAACCAGATCCTAGAGAAAAGATATTTGTGTCACAACGATTACTTTCTTAAAAATATTATTATAATGTTAGAAGTTTTAATTTTTTTAAATTACTGTTATAAAGATTGAGAAAATATTTTTTAATTTTATCATTAATCCCCCCGCATTTTTTATATAATCCAAATCAAAAGTATTGTTTACTTTATATAT